TCTCACTCCCGTCATTCTGGGTCTCGGAGGCAGATATGCTTGTTTCATGAGCGATTGTGTACGCCATGATCTTCGTGAAGCTTTGTTTAACCATCTCGGCAAGAGGCATACCAAGTCTCTCGGATAGTGTCCGTACGCTGTCGTAGCGCCCTCGCATGATTTCCAAGGCTGCGGTCTCGGCTTGTGCTTCTTGAAGTAATGCATTGAGGCTGGCGAAACCGAATATCTCAAACGGTATGTCGTCCATGGCATCCAGTTCAAGCCACGTGTATAGCAGTTGTGGGCTGAAGATCTGGAAAAGCTCTTTGGACGAAGTCAACTGAAGAGCGGTTGAGACATTATCCAGGCATCTCTTGGCGTACTTCGCAGACTGAGCAATCTTGCCAGGTGTTTCGAAGATGTGGTATGTGCTCCTCCTAAGAAGGGTTGGCCAGCGACAGGCAAGTTGTGACAGAACAAAGAGCCGAAATGCGATCCCCTCAATTGCTTCTGGATCAGTGGGCAGACTATTCAGGATATCAACGAAAAGTTCGTCGTGCATTTTGAGCACGTAAACGCCGAAAATATCTGGCAAAGCGACTCCGATGAAGTGCTTTACAGCAAGCGTCCCCTGTTTCATGATAGAGAGCAACGTTGCGCGGCAGGACGCCGACCCGAGCTTGTCTGCATACTGAGTTTCGTTTCGCAGCAGAGCAAGCAGCAAACTTGCCAGAGCTATCTGCGAGTTTGGTGAAAGACTGTTCTTCGACATAGAGCCGACAAGATGGTCATAGAGGTCGCCAACCATCTTGGATACTTCGAGTTTCTCATCGACCCAGATCTGCATGAGGCCCTCCAGAATGCGCAAGGTGGTTGAGTGCGCCACTTCGCAACAATTGTATTCTGCTTCTCCAATGATGTAGCCGATTTTCTCGACCACCTTTTCAGCAACATCGGGACCTATGTTTAGGTCGGAGCCGAATATTTCGGAAGTCAGGGCAGCGCACATCAAAAACCCTTCATCAGAGAGGTCCAGCAGCTGCTCCAAGAAATCTTGTGGAACAAGGCCTACTTGACCACTATCATTGTGCATCGCCTCGAAGAAGTACATCCGCTGCTCAGTCGCAAGATAGAATGCTCCCAAGTCCAAGCTCAAGGATGTGCTCAAACGAGGAACATCAGCCGGTTTTGTTGCGATACTGGCCTTACTCTCTTGTGAGTCGAATTCATCGTCCAGATCCATGAAATCTTGGTTTTGTCCCGACGATTGGCGGCTGGATTGATCGCGGTATGCCTCGGCTATCTTTGTGATTAGTTTGAGCAGCGGAGGATCATCTTTCAAAATTGCGTTGATGCTCTCTGTCTCCAAGGACGGGAGGATAGGGCGCATGATTTTGAACAATATCTCGAAGAACTGCTGACTATCGTCTGAAGCAGTAGCAGCCTCGAGGCTTGTGCTGGTGAGCTTGGCGATGGTCGACTCGATGTCCCGCGACTGTCCTGAATTCAGATCAGTCAACTGCGTTACAAGCATGGTTCCTGCAACCACAGCTGAAAAGAGACTGTGGAATCTGTCTGAAGATATTTGCGTGCCGCCCTCTGATCCTTTCTTGCTCCATGACTCGCAAAGATCTTGCAAGCTCTCGATTTTCGGGAACAGAAGCTCCAGTACGAGCTTCTTTGAGGCATGGAATGCTGCCGAGTCACCAGCTTTGATCAGTTCAACTGATGCGACAGCTTGACCACAGCTCGTGGCCTCCCGGTTTTGTGGCTTTGGTTCTTCCAGCAAGAGCAGGTATCTGGTCAGCACAGAAGCGTGGTACTGAGCTCTCCAAGTTTGACATATTGAACCGCCTGACACGGCCTCTTGGGACGTATGATGCAGCAGTGCAGAGCCACAGCAGGCACGAATCAAGTTGACTAGTTCAGTCACCGGCGCATGAAGTGAGTATAGAGCGGCATAGCTCATTTCAGCTAAGGACTGTTAGATCGTGATTATCGTTCGCCAGGACTACTCACTTGGATTCCATTTCAAAAAGATCCATCGAATGATGTGACGGCACGTCGCTTGACTGGCATTCGGCAGCTTTACGTTCCGAAGAAAGAGTAGATGCAGCATAAGGGTAATCGAAGAATCAACGAGGAGTATGGGCCCGTTGACGTCGGCAGTTGTGACTATGCTGTTCACTTCGTCTGAAACGTCATGATAGGAAAGCAGTTCGGTTTTCGCTTCCAGAATCGTATGAAGAAAGACACAGGCCGCTCGGCTAGTGCCAGATAGACTGATGGCTCTCGCCGCGATCTGCCATATGTGCTTCCATACAGTGCTGTCAACGCAGTCGGTTTGAGTGCAACTGTGAGACAGTTAGCTATCAGTTGACACGGATGCATCATCCGAATGATAGATAAGGGGGACGATGATGGAAAACGATGGGTACGGAGGACGATAGAGAAAGGGAAAGGTGATGGAGGAACGATGGAGGCCTACCTTGCACAAGCTAGCATCGCCCAAGACGCGATAGATGCGTCCTTGTCGCTGATAAAGGCTATTACATTTGGTAGCAACTCTGCAATCTCTGTTGTGGTATAAGTGCCAAGGTTCAAGAGAAAAGGTACCAGCTGCAATGCTGTCCTCTGTGTAGCTGAATTATGCGACTGGAGATATTCTTGGATCCGGCTTGTATGTGTTTTGCGCTTCTTCCGAGGTTGCTCATCTGGTGACTGAGACCGTTGCTGTTTCCGGGCCTTCCACAGGATACGTTCTAAAATGGCGAGATTCTGGACTAATGCCCATCTTCTCTCACCATCGCGGTTGTGAGGGCGAAGACCGAATAGTTCAATAGTAAAATAATCTTGAGGCAAATGATGCGTTACGAAAGTGAGATCCTCCAGCTGAAGTTGTGATCGAAGGTCTCGCCGGGAGTACTCTTGCCACAAGGCATCTATGAGGTCTTCGATGTCCTTGAGGACGTGGTCATCCTCCTGGAAAACGAGACATTCGAGATGTAAGTGGGTAAGGAAGATGGTCTTCAACATTTCGTCTCTGACCGAATTCAGCATCTCATCTTGAGAAACTGTACGACCTTGCCACCAATGACTGACAAGAGGCACTAGATCCCTGGCCAAGCTGCTGGCACGAGACAGATCATCTGTCTGGGTTGCCGCAAGTAGAACATTGATCGAAGCAAAGGCGAGCTGTGTAATTTGGCCTAACCCAACATGACGAACATGCAGAATCTGAATCAGCGTCTTGGACAAATCCTTAGTTCTTCTCCAAAGAGGCGCATTCGGAGGAATGACAAGCAGGTAGATGCAGTGGAGAAGGTCCTGAACGGTGCCGCGATGGATCTGCCCCGTCACCCGCTGGCTTGGGTTTGTACTGCGACCTGTTGAAAAGCCCATCGAGGCTGTAGCGGGAGCCGGAGACGCACGCGAAACGGAATCTCTGTCTGCATTTTCGAGGTATCGTGAAACCGTGTCGATGCAAAAGTCAACACAGGCTAGCCAGCCGTCTGCGTCTAATATGGCGAGATGCTCGCTATTGGGCTGGTGGCCAAGTAGCGCGGCGAGAGACCTTACGTAGTCTTTGAGTAGCGGCTCTACGAAGTCTGCATCTTCGCCTGGCCCTGGAAGGGTCTGTGTGATATGATCGATCACAGCTATGAGAGTCTTCCGCTTCAGTTTCGAGGCACCGTGGGCGACTGCTAAGCGCAACGCCTCGGCGCACTTGGATAATCTGGAGCCAGCAGCGCCCGCTGTAGTTCTTTTTCCTCCATAAAAGTTCTGTTTCTCGGCGATAGCGCAGCGAAACAGACCCTCAAAGATGCGGTGATAGTGCTTATCCCCCAGGTCGGTTCTGTCTTCGTCAGTTTCGTCGTTGTCCCACATCGTCGTCCCTTGCCGTCGTCCCTCGTCGTCTTGCCCCGTCGTCTTGCCCCGTCGTCTTCCCTTGTCGTCTTCCTGCCAGCCAGGGGGTGGGGTGGTTTCTCAACTTACAAGGCAGCAGTCTTGCCCTTCTTATCCAGAAGGAATATCAGGTCTAATACACGTTAGAAGATGGCAAAATGACCTGTGATTATGCCGTATAACACGTACCATCGAGACCCGCCCCGCGCTCTTTGAGCGTTCCACCAGATATAGCGTCTTGAATAATCGTCAGTTACTGCTTTCAGAAAAGGATTGTTGACTGACTAAGGGCATCGTTGACGGTGATCTCGCCCGTCTTGAGCTTTGGAGGCGCCATCCTGGCCTAGCGCATGCCGGTGTTGTCTTTCTTGGTGTCGCTGGTTGATTCGTCGCGCATGGGAACGGGTAGACGGATGACAGTGACGGAAACCAGAGCATTTATTCGCAGGGGCAGTCACGACTTTGGCCGAAACGCCTCTCCAAGGCAGGCGCAGGCAGTCGCCAATTCCTTCCACGTCAATCGCAACCAAAAGGTACGGAAGGTGGTTAGGCGCGTGTATGTATGTATGTATGGTCTTATTATGTATGTAGGTATGTCAGACGCGGCGCATGAGAGCTCACTCACTGAGAGCGCAGTCAAGCTTCGCGCCTCCAGGTACCTCTAGCTCCGGGAGCTTACCCCCTAGGCATCTTACCCCTGTCGAAAATTCGCGGCAGAAAGTCCACCGCCTGCCTCAAATCGGATCGCTTTTGTTGACTTTTGCCCCGGAACATCTTCGCTCCGGACGGGAATTTTCGACACAGCAACGTACGGCGCAGACAATTGGAAGAGCGAAGCAGCGTCTGGCACCGACCACGCGCCTATGGTAAAGCTCAGCTTATGGACGCCTATTCAGAAGGTACCTTAGGCAGGTAGTGAGGTACCTGGCTTCCGGTGTAGGTCCACTCTAAAATTCCCAGAACCTCGAAGTTCGTCGCCTGGGCAGACATCCGCGACCTAACAACATCTTCCAAACTTGTCGCTTCACGCCATCGCGACATTTTCGCGGGCTTTTTCTTAGCCCATGAGACGATTCGGCCCCGAGGCCATGCAATAGCGCGCCCAATTCCCCAACATGGCCGAACCAACTACCCTCGATGCGCTGCAGGCATTCCACCGCGATCTGGCCGCGGTCCGTGATGGTCGCCCTGAAGGCGCCGATTCCCTGGACAACCCCGTAATCCAGGCTATTTTCGAACGGGAGCTCGAGAGAGTTTGGCAGAGACCTCCAAGAGACGAAAAGAGCCGGAATCAGTTCAAGTCTGGTCAGTTGCAGCTCTCCAGTATCCCAGGTTGACCGACTCAAGTCTAACACAGCATGATACGCTAGGCAAGATCGTAATTGACGACGAGGAATACTCTATCAATGAAAATTTCCAGCAGATCGTTTTTAACCTCGCCGACGAAGCCGAAATCAACGAAATCGAGGCCGCGCGATACGTCCTTGAAGCTGAGGAAGATCCCTCCGTCATTGGCCGCTCACTCCTCGAATGCGGATTAATACGAGTGCATCAACAGCGCAAATATGTCCTTGACTGCGTCAGATTGATGCTGGAGATTGATGGCTTGGACGAGGATGACTTCGACGCCGAGATACTGAACGCGGTGCAGCTGTACCTGTCGGCTGCCGTGTTCCAGAACTTACCGGGTGAAACCGCATCTTCGCAGAAGAGACTGCTTCCGAGATGCATGTCAGCGATGCAAGACGTCAGGGGATGGCTTCAGAAGATTGCCGACAAGATGACCGCTGCGGCTGTGCTCATCAATGGGCAAGGAGGCCAAGTCCCGGAAGAGATGGAGACAATCGAGTTTTCTCGCGTCAGTCTGTATCAGCAGCATGAGCTTCTCGCCATTATTCTGTGTCGAGCAATTGAGAAACGGGAGGCCGAGGTCAATGATTTCAAGTCGTTCTTGCAGCATCTGAAAAATGCCGACAAATATGATGTTCTCTTGGGTATGTGGAAGACGACACCATTTCGGTTACGCCTATTGACATGACCAAAGCACACTTCTTCCCGGCCCTGGGCGCATACATCACACTTTACGGCTCTACCGAGGGCGTATCTAACCTGACCATGGCGAGACAGCTTCATCCGCTCATTACCGATGAAAGTCCCTGGCGTTTGGTCTACCTCCAGGCGGCGGTCAAGGCTTGGTGGCTATCTGAGTACAGTGGATGGTATCTCGACGACTCGCTGCTTGGCGGTTTAGAAGGCGTGGATCTCGATCAAGGTATGTGCCTACTGATCCTTTCGCTGATTCGGCGCTAATTTCAATACAGAGGATAGACAAAGATCCAAGCAGTTTCTCGAAGCACTGAAAGATGGTGCATTCGACTTCATTCTCTCCATCGCAGCAGACATCAAGACACCCGAATGGGTTGACCCATCGCGCATAACCATGCGCAACTGGCTCCAACGGAAGGCACCGCCGCTGATTTCGGAATCGATTCTTTTCTCCGACTTTTTCCAGCAATGCTTGATGGCTCAACTCGAAGTCTTTGTTGATGCTTTCATTTCTAACCTCCCCGACGTACTGCGGAAGCTCCGCATAGAAGAGGATGAACAACGCCAGCTCAGCCAAAGCCACGAGCAGGACTTGGACTTGGAACGGTTCTTGGTCATCATAGCGTACGCCTACGAGGGGCGCCCTGATGCGGCGATGAGCTTTTGGTCGGACCCTGACAGCAATCTGGCGGGCTTTATGCACTGGGCATCGCGTAGGGCCTCCACGCCGCTCGTCAGTTCATTTTGTGAGATGCTGCAAGCCATTTCTAGCAACGACGACTGCGCGACTGCTGCTCATGAATTTTTGCTTGACGAGGGCCACCACGCATCTGGCAAAATGAGAAGGTCACAGTCCCTTACATGGCAACAAATTTTCAGAGAGCTTGTGTTCTTCGCGAATAAGATCAGAGAAAAGGCGCATACACCGCAGATTTCGTCAACATATCGACCAGGTCGTCCCAGTAGCGACCAGGCCGAGGCTGAGCCAGAATCCACGATGATGTTGCAATCTTACCTGCGACTGATCACCAAGCTTGCGTCGGAGAGCGAGACTGCAAGACAATTCCTTTTGAAAGAGCCGAGCTTCAATCTCGTTGAGATGCTGTTCCAGCTGGCCAGCAGTCCTGTTCCCGCTGATTTACGAGCAGGCACCTTCATGGCTCTTCGTGCACTCATCACGCGGAAGACTCAGGAAGAAGCTAACATCATGTGGCAATGCTTAGAAGCTTGGATGAACGGCGGTTACATCGTGACTGCTGTTCAACATAGGTCACCACAAAGCTCGCCTGTGGTATCGATGGAAACCGTCAGCGACGATATTTGCCACGGCTTCGAAGAGCCCCACGCATTTATCCAGCTCCTGATTGCGCTTGTTACCCCGCCCGAGGACAGTAGCTCTCTAAATGATGGCTTGCCTTTCCCCGAGAACCTAGGCTCAGCCAACCGCATGCCCGGTATCGAAATTTACGTCGACACGGTACTAGGCAAGGTGTTCGCTAACAAGGCCAACGAAGTAAACGACACCAACCAGCTGAGGATGCTCCGTCTGAGTTGTCTTGAATTTGCGGCAACCTGCCTGTCGACTTTCAACGAGAACCTCATCGTTATCGCCAATGAGACGAACATCCCCATTGACTCTGCGATGGCGGCAACGGATCTGGCAACGTACGTCAAGTTGCACCCTTTCGCTCGCGTCATGGAATGGATGTTCAATGATAAGGTCATTAACGCTCTTTACCAAACTATCCACCAAGATGCTGTGGACGTTGGTAATGCGACGCCAGATTCGCCCGTCATCCTGGGCATTCTGAGAGCCGTGGATGTCATCTCAAAGGTCTTGGACCTCCAGGCAACTTTCCTAGATCTTGTGCGGCCAATCATCAAGATGCAGTCTAATCACCGCCGCCCACCTGTCGCGAATGCCGCCTACGCATCTTTCGAAGACGGGCTCGTCGGACATCTGGGTCTCGTGGTTGATCTCGGAAGCTACTGCGGGCTCGGGCACCCCGACCTGACTTTGGCATGCTTGAAGCTCCTGGAAAAGATGACTGCTTCCTTCAAGATGACCTCTGCGTGGTCGTCTAGCCCTGGCCGCAATAATCATCGCAACAAGGCCATCGTCGCCATGGAGGCCAACGGAGAGCACGAAGCCATTTCCCGGTCTCTTGCGGCAGAGCTGACGGCGCCGCTCGACTTGGGACGCGAAGCAGAATCGCCCACTTACCTAACCAAATCTTATATTCTCGATTTTCTCTTTAGCTGCCTTGCAGCAAGCCCGAATAAGCCAACGATTGCTCACCTCCTGCTGGGCTTTCAATGCGGTGTTGATACGCTGGCTATCGACTCAGACGGCTCATTCGCATCCAGAAATTCACTATTCCACAGCATGTTGAGATTGTTGCTAGAAACGCCATTTGGCGACCCTCAGGGCATGAGGCAATGGCTCATCTCTATGAAGAGCAAGTGCATGCGCATCCTCCGAGTGCTCTGGACTTCACCTCTATCAGCTCCTCTCATTATTGACGAGCTCCGCGAGAACGACGTTCTGTTTCACTTCCTTCTGCGAGAAGTTGTAATTCAACCTGCTCTACCTTGGGAGGGACAGGAGAGTAGTTTACCTCATTTCCCCCTTACAGACGGTGCCCCGACGCTCATCGATTTTCTGGGTCTCCGCAGCATGAGCTTAGAGTACATCGCGATGGAGCTTTGCAGCGTATCACAGACCCGAATGCCGTCCCTCAAAAGACGAATCTTTGACGCTCTCAACGGCCAGATAGTGGGTGACAACAACGAGCCCATGACGATCCCAACCGTGTTCGACCTCTACGACTTCTTGCTGCCTGAGGGCATCTGGGACATGTCGCTGCCAACCCTCCAGTTCTATAAGGAGCTTGACCTCAGGATATGCCTGGAAGAGGATGACCACGGAAACCCTATCTATCATATTGACCGCGCCAAGGAGATTTTGCTTCTGAAGCGCAGTGAGAGAAAGGACGAAGGCGTAGTGTTGACGGCGGCGGACTACGTGGCCTTGGAACGAGAAGAGTCAGCTATTGTCGACTATCTAATCTTCACGAACAGGCAAAAGCGCATTGCCTCCCAAGGTCTGGGCGTTCTCAAAACCTGGACGAGTCTGCTTCTCGTCATGGTTGAGTCAAATGAGTTCAAGGGCACAACAGAGGCCTCGTTCTACCTTCAAGCACTACAGGCCATCCTCCCCGGCTTAGAGGCGTCTGCGTCCGAGAAGCCTGTGGAGGCCATGGAACTGGCCAAGCTGGCGAGAGTGCTCCTCTTTAAGCTCGACCTAACTTCAAAGCCTTCGCTTGACCGTGAGAGCCAAGCTATCGGCAGCCTCGTCAGTGACAAGCTTTACCAACTATTCCAGATCTGCCTTCAGGCCATTGGCAAGTGGGCGGGATCGTCGGATCTCCGCTCGGTCTACTACAGCATCTGCTACCGCTATTTGACCGGCATGGTTGACCAGGGAATCCTCGTGGCCGGCCGTCAGAAGACCATCAAGACAATCCAGATCTATGGCGAGAGACTTATCAATGTGATTTGCGACGACGCATACGGCAGCGATGCAGCTTGCCAAACTGCCGCCTTCATTCTTCTGAACGCCCTCGTTAACCTCGGACGCCAGGAGGATGATGCTCACATCGTCGAAACCCTCAACCGTCTCAACTTTATCGGCATCCTCGTCGACTCGCTTCGCACCATTTTGCAAGACTGGTCTGAGATCGTCCGCACCGGCAATTCGGCGCAGGAAACCTACATCGCCGCCAAATTCGCACTGCTTCTCCAGCTGGCGCAAACCAAACCTGGTGCCAAGTACATCCTGCACGCGAATCTTCTGCGCTCCATCGAGGCGTCTGGCCTCTTCGCCGCGGATCCGGAGTTGCAGATTGACCCCACGAACCCCAAGGCGCTCGAGAAACACTATGAGCTTCTCGCCAAGGTGACCCGTGTTGTCAGCGCTTCCATCGTCAGCCGCGGTGACAGCAACATCCTGCAGGGCCGCAAGTTCCTCACAGAGCACCGCATGCTGGTGACGCACACCCTCAAGCGCAGCGCGGGCATTGGCGCCGTGGAGGGTGAGGGAGTGCTGGAGGAGAGGATCGAGGAGCTGGCCGAGGGTTTCATGGTCCTGATTGCAGCGACTGGCTTTTTGGAGGTAAGTCTTCACGTCCCTTTCCAGACTTTTTGACCACCTTTTTTTTTACTAACGACCCCTCCAGTTTGAGAACGAAGTTATGCCGGAGCCGAAGAGACAAGGCCCAACGCTCTTCACATGAGCGCATGACTGAGCGAGAGAGGGGGAGGAGGTAATGTGTACATGGTTTTGGAGTAAGAGTAGCCCGACGACAAAAAGACATAAAACGATGCCCAAACCCCTCAAAATTTTACAGCGTAAAGATGCCATGTCATCCGTGCTTAGAACCAGGCGTTCAGGAGAGGTTGGCAGCAAGGGGGAAAGGAAAGGGAAATGGTCGGTGGCCATACCTGAGTACATCGGGGGCATTGAAGCGCCCCCTGAAAAGAGCATGTATCGAGTAAAATACTGTAGATTCGAATACCTCCGTGGTGCGTTTTGAGCTGCTCTTGACCTTTTTTTCTCTGAGTTCCCAACATTATTGCTGGGCCAGCAAGGTTGTCTCCTGAGTGCGCCCATCTACGTCATGACTCCACGTCAATGGAACAGAATCACACAGCCACTGCGTTGTTGTACTCAGAAATGCAAGTTGGTGAAATCCTATGCCCATCTATAAGAACTGACGGGGGTTACAGACTCTAGAACCCAATGCCCTGTCATCCGTCCCCCTTCCCTCAAGGCTAGTCGAACGGGTATCACAAGAAATATGACAAAACCTATCATCCTTCCGCCCAATGCACTAGAAATGCTCAAAATCCGTTGCCAATGCTGCCCTCTTTCTTCCGTTTCATGCCTTCGTGTAATGATGCTAGTAGAGTTTCTCTCTCTCGATTCAATAGATCGATCCTTTATGACAACTGCGACCCTTATGGTGGCACCTGTCATGCTTTTGCCGTATCCTTGGCGGTAACGAGGTCGGTTGCAGAGATGATGTTGTGTGTATAGTGTGTGTTTGTACATGGGCGGTTTGTTTCACGCCTTTTGCTTGCCCTTTCGGCTTGCTGTCATGAGCTTCAGCTCTAAAGGCCAGAACCCTTTCGTTTTTGAGGTGTAGTCGCTGCGGTCTTTGGTCTCGACTTTCTGCCTGCATATGGGGCATTTGTTCTTGGTGGCGTCCACGTTCAGAGCTGAGTGTAGGCATTCAGAGCAGAAGAGATGGCCTGGAAATGTGTCAGAACAGCTAGAACAGCTATGTATACCCACCACATACCACAATGCGTGACCGTCAGAGCAGTGACATCGTCCATGCAGATGACGCATGTAAACGCGGACAGCTTTATCCTCTTGTCCTCCTTGGGAACCAGCAGCTCTTGCGGCACCTCGTTAGAGGCCACAAGGTCGATGGCGTCCTCGTCCTTCTCTTCTTTGCCCTTGCCCTTCTCAAACTCCTTGTCGCCAAAGATGTCATCGTCGTCCTCAATCTTCGTAGGTGTCGCTCGTGGGGCGGTTGATGTTGTGCGCGCACGTGTGGCAGATGTCTGTGAAGTTCGGCGTCTCTTGGTGGAGGTCGGCGCCCCTCTTGCTGCCGTTGAGGAAGGTGCGGCCCTTTTACGAGTGGTGGTGGTCGGCACGACCTCATCCGGGTCGTTGTCCGAGCTGATGATTGTGGACGCCCTCCGGCGCGTCTGGACAGGCATGATGTCTTCCGGTTCGTTGTCCGAGCTCACAAATAGGGATTCCTCAATATCGTTGTCGTCGAAGACGCTGGGACGTGGTGTCGATCGTCGAGGGCCTGCCGCGGTAGATACGGTATTGGGTAATGTTGGAGCAGGTCGGTTCGGTCGTAGTGAGCCGAGATGGTTCTGAGTGCTTGCGCCGTTGGAGGACCTGTTGCCCGAGGACGCTTGAGCTGACTGTGGGTAGGAGGATGGCGAGGAGAAGTTTCCGTCAACCAGTGCAGAGAGGAAGTCGTCGCTGTTCGGTTCGCGGGCAGGTGTATGCGGGGCGGCGGCGCTGAGCAGAGTCGCGTCAAGAGTGTCGAGATCCAGGTTGGCGGCAAAGTCAGAAAAGGAAGGCAAGGCCTGTTGTGGTTGCTGTGTGCTGTCGGGAGTCAAGGCAGCCCAGTTCCAGAGGTCCCAGGGGATGTTGTTCTGTGGCTGTGGTTGTGACAGTTCGGTGGTGGAAGCAGTTGTGGTTGTAGATGGGTTGGTGGTGGTGGCGGATTGGGGCCCCGGAGTGGGTTCTGAATCGCTATCGAGCTCGATGGGTGCCTGACTGCTGCTGCCTCGCGCAGGACCCCGGTCTGCGCTGAGGAAGTTATTCACCGGTCGAGCTATGGACGAAGAGGCGGTTCGAGTCGGCTGCGGCAGCGGCGGCGTGGGCAGAAACGGGATGAGGCCCGGCATGGGAGGTAGGGTGATGCGCGGGCGGTCGTCTTTTTTCGGGGGCGGCAAGCGGAATTGAGCGTCAGGAACAGTGTCTCTGCACCCCAATGGATGAAGGGTATTGGTATGGTGGTAGGTCAAGGAGAAAAGAATTAATTACCTGGCAAGTATCCACGAAAGGGAGGTCTGAAATCGACAAAGGGATCCTTGGCCATGTTTACGTGATGGAGGTGAAGTGGAGGGGGGGGGGAGATGCAGCGCCAGGAAGGCGAAAAGGCGGGATGACGCTGCGCAGCGCAGCGGCAGGACGTACGTCCACCCTCCCGTCCGTCTCACACACTCAATTCCCAGTGTCGTGGGCGTCGAGCGTGGGCGTGTTTTCGGGGTTTAGCCGCCGTTTCGGGGATTGTTCCACTGGAGTTTGGTGCTTGCTGGCCACCTCAGTGCAAGGAGCTACCCGCCTAATTGCTGTGACGGGACCTACCTGCTGTACTGGCAAGCGGCATACGGATAATGGCTCTTCGGGGACGGACAGGGGCTCCGACAGCTCATACCTCACATGCACCTAAGGTGGTGGTGATGAATAATGATACCCGTGGACAGCTCCACGGCGGCAATTGCGGCAGCCCTGAATCGCTCAGACCAAAGGTCAGCTGGTCCGATTATCGTCAACAATAGCACAAAAAAAGTTGGTGGCAGTCCTTGCCAGACTCAGGGCGCACACGACCTTTTCTCGACTATTTATCAATTCCGCCCAAGATTTGCCAGAGACACAGCAGTGGAGTGTGCTCGGATCACACATTTATTTGTGTTACTCCAATCGCGTCGACCGAGGCTGGAACAGTGACCGGGTCATGGAAAGGGGAAAGAAAAAGGAATAATATTGCAAAAGCAAGCATCCATTCTTTTGGTCCTACCTGAGCCGCCTGAGCAGCTCAATATTACTCGTACGGCTTCGCGCCTCGCCTCCCTTGAACAACAGTCAGTACGGTGGGTGCACAGCTTGCGCGCGTCTATCTGGAGTCCCAAAGAAGCAGTCAGTCTGCTGGGCATGGAGGCGTCCCGAGTCTGACCCCTCAAATTGCATCAGCCATCATCCTCATCCACGATCATTCTCATCCACGATGCATGTCTGTGGCTTCCGCTTGCCTCGAAAGCTGTTCAAGCCCAAGCTTCCGGCATCATTTGTTTATGGGCATTTCCCTAAAACTCCTGATTGCACTTCTGGCTCTGTTATCAACGGACCTTTCGAATTCTCTCCACAACGGCGGACCGAACTTTTCCCATGTTGGAGATGAGGGGTTTTTCACTATCTCGGGAGGGCAACGCATCCATGGCCGATGCCTGAAGAAATTCTCTCTTATATAACCTCGTCGCTGCTCGTCGCCCATACGCCGCAGGCTGACAAGCTCGCGGAGCCCTCGTGAGGTGAGCAAGTATATGTATTGAGATTCTTCTTCGTCCATAGGCCGATGTGCAATGAGTTCAACGTGGTCTCCTCCTGAGTAAACGACGATGCTGTTTCCCGACTTCACGGCTTTAAAGCCGGGGGGCCAGGCAGATCCGCTGTTCGAGGCTCCCACTACTGCCACCAGAACATTCTTTGCGCCGCAAGCCAACTGTTCGTTTGACATCAAATCGACTATCATGTACGGGCTTTGTGCCTCGACATAAGGCTGGAGTGTAACTCGTCCTGTCGTTTCCTCCCATAGTTTGACGTGCTCTTTGCCTATGAACCGTACGGCCTTCTTCAGTTCCGATGGTGAAAAGGAAATGGTTTTATAGCATGCCTGGTGGAATCGTTCGTACGTCTGTTGGCACAATGTGCGAGCCGAGGGTTCATCTATAAAGAACACCTGACAAGCCAGCTCAAAGCATAGGAAGTCATGTTGCCACTTTAGTGTTTCTGCTGTCTTCTCGTCCAGGGTGAGCGTACGATTGACAGGCCTCAAGGCCGCGGCGGTGCAGTAATCGACCTCGTCGATCAAAATTCCCAAATCGGCCAGTTGACGCACCCTCAGATCCTCGACCCAGGCTGTATGATCACTCCTCAATGCTGCGCAAGCAGCTGCCACGTATGCCTCGGTTTGAGTGGCCGACGGCATTTTGGGCCAAAGGCCGGAACCTGGGATAGCTCCCGAAGTATGTTGACGGTGATGGCGAATATTGATAATAGCTCTAGCGTAAGTCCAAAGCGACTCGGGCAGGTATGACTTCAATTCGCGGAGGGAACGTCGCGCCAAGCCCTTTCTTTCGGCTCTGAAGCAATCTGAGGTCTTCTTGCAGGTGCAAGCCAGCGCCAGCACATCTTGAAGTCCGAGATGGTTCCACATAATCATACGAAACAACTCAGGAAGCAGATTTTCAAAGCCGCTGGCTGCCGGGCTCTGTATGGTCGACATGATGCGTCAAATTCACTGGGCAGTTGTTAGCCTAGTAATGGCCGACTGGGTCACTGGTATACTTGCTTCGGTTAGGTTATGTCTCCTGGCTCTGTTTTCCGGGGAGATGGTCATAGACCAGGTCGTGAAGAGTGCCCGGTATGTTGACCAGTCATGGACAGAAATATTCTCTATTCACTACCGATCCACAAGTGTGGACGGCATAATGGCCTTAAATGCAGAAAAGAAACCACCTTGAGGGTGCGTTCATCGGCCACGGCTGAGGGCCTCGCTGATTCATTCGACTCAGCCGGGCAAAGCTCTTTCGCCTGCGTACCTAGCGTTGACCGACAAATACCGTCTTGATACTTATATGTGTGCCGGTATTTGCGGATAATATTGGCATCGGCACCTCTCCACAGTGTCAGGTCAATCAA